AAATGGCAGGGACTGCTGACCGCAGAAATTTTCGCATTAAGCTTCAAGTGATGACGCAAGTCATAATGTCAAGTCATCAATTAATTTAACCGAGGAAGAGAGGAGCACGCGTCTCTCGCTTTCTCGCCGCGGCCGCGGCACTTTCCCCCGCGAGAGTTTCGCGCTCACCCTCGACGCGACTCGCGACGATTTCCATAAAATGTGCTCGCCCTTGAGCAGGCCGACACGAAATCTCAAGGTCACCAAAGTCGAGGACTAAGGTGAAAAGAGTCTCCTCGCCATGACGACGCCGCGCGCTCTCGCTCTCTCTCTCTCTCTCTCTCTCTCTCTGGGAGGAGCAATCTTTTCACTGCGAAACGAGGAAAGAAGGAAGAGGAAGAAAGGGGAAAAAGTCACCCTCACCTTTGCTGTCGCAGACGTCGCAGAGCACCATGTCCACCGGCGACGAAGCGCGTGTACTTTACCGCGTGGCCGCATCCGCACTGAGATACTTCGTGACGTAGAGCGACATCGTGGTCGAAACACCGAGGAGAAGGCAGACGATGATGACGGAGGATGCGGTGGAGGGGAAGGAGAGAAGCGACGTTGAACGAACGTACGGCACTATCGATCAGCCCGCGAACGGTCTGCAAAGTGCTAACGGTTTGACAGCCAAGTTTGCACTGGCGATGCAGTGTCAGAACGACGTACGGACGACCAACGGCCCCGAACGCGGCGAGGCAACAGGGTCGAAGAAAGAGGGGCCGATATGGTCCATCGTGGTGGGGCGCCGAGGGACGACGGATCAATATTAGGGCGTAGACTCAAGGGCAAGGGCCGTCAAGGCTTATACGGGGGGGTGAACGCTATACGGGGTGTCGATCTCCTAACGGTGGTCTGACCGAGGAATTTGGAGTCGGATTTCTGTCGACGCGTGAACGTTTTTTCACAGAGAATATCGAATATTGAGATTCTTTGGTAAATCGCGCGAAGGAATTTGGGGAATGACCACAACCCATGATTCACGTCGGCGAGATCGTGATCGGCAGTTTAAGAGCTCAACGTTGAAAATTTAAAGACGAAGATTCAAATAAAAATTGCCTGTCGCTGAGAAATCTATAATTGGTAATGGTAGATAAACATTGTACGTGCAGAGCAAAATTAAATTCGGAATTCTTTGCGAAATTTGGGGGCGTGGCTTTCGTGCCTTGAAACTTCACAGCACCGAAGCTTCGACACAGCATTTTGAAGCGTTCGAAATTAACAGAGGATTTGAAGCATTTTATATGGGTGAGTTTTTGGATAATAAGTCTCGTCGCATTGCTCGCACAAGTCCAAGCAGATCTTATTCCATCAAAATTTAATTCAAGGTTTGATCGTCGAAATACACTGCGAACTCAAAATGTGCAGCGAAAAAATGACCTGGGCAAAAAGATTTTCCAAGTTTCCTATGAAAATCCGGACAAGGGTTTCGGACACCCTATATAGGGAAAATTTGTGCGTACGTGCGTGCGTGTAGGAAGGAATTCGGGTGCTCCCGATGCAACGCGATGCATCGCGCGGCGATATCGACCGTAGCTGCGGGGTATCGTTACCGTCGATACATTCTATTGTGTCTCGAATTTGTTATACCCGGCCTTTCCGCTCCCACGATCGTCGGAATCGATCCTATTATCTTCGCGCGCCACGTGATCGGCAGATTTACACGAGATTAGCACGATTAGCCGAGGTACACGGCGAGTTGTAAAAAGTGTTACACATGGGTGTGCAAAACTGTTTGTCGTGCGGTATCGAGTAATCTGTATCTGCGCCGATCAGCGCGAAAAGAAATTTCCGCGCTGGGATTTTATTAGCGAGAAGTCCCGTGCTGATAAAACCGACAAATAAATGACCTCTCACTTATGCAATGTAAAAGAATCCAAGCGCACGTGTCGCGCGTTCGTGCGCAACGACACGGAAAAACACGTTAGATTATGAAAGATTATGTTTTCACGTGGAAACAGACGCGTGAGCTATATATAAAATTAATTAATCGGCATTGATTTACGGAGAGAGCCTGTCCGAGGTGAGGCCATTAAACAATCCGACAAGACTTTCCCCACAGCAGCTAACGTAATGCGCGGAGATGAAATTCCTCTCATGGGACATCGATAAGACGTACGTACTGGGATCTAACTTTCTCCGCAGTAATCATTATCACGATCTTCAAGTTGTGACGACAACATCCTAAAAGATTGTTCGATTTTATTCTGTCAACTTCACATGATATCCTCTCTCTCTCTCTCTCTCTCTCTCTCTCTCTCTCTCTCTCTCTCTCTCTCTCTCTCTCTCTCTCTCTCTCTCTGTACAATCGCCCTGTATGTGTGATAATTATTTTTCAAATTCTCTCTCTCTCTCTTTTTCTGCTTTCAAACGATCATGCTTGGATGAAGCAACTTAAAAACGACAGAAAACTCAAGTATGAGCGTGCGAGCGAACGGAATGTTTCTATCCTCGTACATTTGGTAATTCTCGCGCTGTTGCGTCGTTTGCGCGATCGAATCGCGAGTCGCGCAGAGGGAAACGATAAAATGAGGTAAAAATGATTGCGTGTCATCGGACTGTTAATAGCGCACGGCGATCGTTCGCACCGCGATATGCGCGCATTCTCTTCGTTTATGAAAACTTTCGCGATGCCGTGAGAATGCGAATGCGGTGCCTTTCGCGACGCGAGGGAGAAGCCTGCCCCTTATGGCTTTCTCCCTTCGGGACGAAATCGCGGTATTACGCGAACGGCCAAGTATCCGAGAGCAGCGGGCATAGGTGCATAGTTCAAGCGTAAACGCGGTATTTCATCGCGACGCGAAAGGATTAACCCCTTCGCGGCCACCGACGACCCGAGATCCTTTGATTCAGGAATTTTTCCTCAGGCGAAACGCGACGCTTGCTTTACGAGCCTTCCCGGCGAAGGGGGAGAGAGGAGGAGCGTCGTCTCTGCTAAGATTACGCTAAGATTACGTATGGTCAGCGTAATGTGACGATATCTATCCCGCAAACGCAACGCGAAATTCCTCCCAACATTCCGCGAAAAGAAGATTTATTTCGATCGTACGCTCGACCTGAAAAAATGTTTCATTCCTCCTCGCTTCGTTAATTTAGATCAACCAGTACTTTTTCTTTGAGAGAAAGCACGCAAATCTTTTTGCATTTCTTTTTTTTTTGCATACTCTACTATTCATTTTCATGGTTAATGGTTAATAGGTGAGTGGAGAAAATTCGCAAATTTGAATTGTCAGTTTTTAATTCAATTTTTGACTCGAGCTTTTTTCATTTCACTTGCTCTTTCGCATGACGCTGGCGGGCAGATGCAGTGGACCGTTTTATCTAAGAATTAAAGCGTATATCAGCATTCTTGAATTATCGGGCGGGCAAGTGGAGATATAGCGAGTCCACATGTAAGATGATAAGTCGCAGATAAGAATGCTTAGTAGATAAAAGAGCAGGTACAAGGCTTAGTAGATATAAGGCTCGCCTACCGCCGAGCACCTTTTTCACGTTGAGCGTTCAAGCAAAGGTGACGGCGCCGGTGTGCCATTCGTTGAACTCGTATTCGCTGCACACGGAGAACTAGAAAGCTTCCTGGAAGTATTAGCCGTGAGAACATATCGACACTTTCGGCATCCTACCGAGTCGCACAATTTCCAATAGCGATCAGATCGCAGGTAGATAGGAAGAGCGACACTCATTATGTGTTGGCGGCCAGATATATTCGATTCCAATTAACACTCGCGCTTTCACGTGCATCGATCGAAGTTCACCACGATAAAAAGCGGCGACGACGACGATCTCGGCGGAAGTGAGCAAAATCAATCGAAATGTGATGAATAAAAATTTATCTTCCCGAGATGGCTGTGGTCTTCCCGTGAGGGAGAGGCAAAACGCAAGTTTCGAGGCTCCTGCTGCTCTTGAAAAGGTCCCGAGAAAAAAAACAAACCGACGCGACGAACGAACGAGAGCACAATGGAGCGCTCGTAAATTTCGCGCTCGAAATGCATGGGTTGCGGTCTTATGTCACGTTTGCATAAGTACCAGCTCTCCGGTTCACCGTGTACACAACCGGCTGCTCTCGAAAAGCTCGGGGTGCTCATCGGCCCGGAGCTTTCAGCGCGGGACCGGAGAGAAGAGGCAGCGTGACTGTTTCTTCGACTAAACCCATATGGAAGGACATATGTTAAGGGGATACACATATATACGCTATATCGGGGACACTCTACCCTGACCTGCGGTAGTAACATGAATAAGCGAGCGGGTGAACGAGGGAGCATCTAAAAATAGGGGTGCCTCGGTCCGAAGGATTAATAGGCATGCCAGTTGTACTGTAATTTTAAACACCTCGACAAACGTCGCTAATCCAATCTACCGGCCTATAAAGCGCCCCTCTTTTTCGAACGAACGTGGCCCGCGGGCATTAAAGCGATAAACTCGAAAACTTCGGCGGCCATCGTCGAGAGTACAATGCGTTCGCTGTGAAATCCCTGTGTGACTCGCGTCCTTCCACCCCTGACTCTTGGAATCTTGTCGCTCGCGTGCGAGCGACAGCACGCGAGATTGCGAGACTCGCAAGCACACACGTACGCTATTCGCCACGTCCTCTTCAATGAAGTTAAGTGTTTCACACGAATTTATTCCGACGGAAATTTATTAACACATTTTTCACTCGTATATGTGTGCTTATCGCAATGCGCAATGCGCGCGTGTTTTTTCTTTAATGTTCGTTATGTCGTCAGCCGAGGCTCTTTGTTGTTGTTGTTGTTGTATGTCTGCGGCTTATTGCACGATTTATCAAACTGAAAATCACGCGATGCACAAACACAGATAAAATCAACTCTAACGTGGACTCTTGAGAAGAGACATTTTCTAAGCTACCTCTCGTAGCTCTCGCCAAACCTCGAGATGCGAGAGATAATGAGCACAGTTGTCAAAAGGATACTTGTGACGAAAGAGTGAAGATTAGAAGGTAGAGGCAAGTTTGTCAAACTCACCCTTCCGCTGGTCCTCGCTGTCCGAATGAAGCTCCACGTCGTGCAGCCGCATGGATTGCACGAAACCTCGCCAGTGACTCCGCGAGCGTCCCCTCTCGCCGAGATCGTTCCTCAGGTCCGCCAGTTGCCGGTTGGACTCTTTCACGAGCCCGTCCAGAATATCCGGTCTTTCCGGATTAGAACTGGCCTTGGAATTCTCTTCCGCACTCGCGCCATTCGACGAGTCCTCCTCGCGATCGCGATCGCGATCGCGGACACCTCGTCGATCCTCCCGCGACCACTCGTCCGCCGAGTAATTTGCGTCCTTCCACCCCCGACTCTTCGAGTTCCTCCGTCTGCGAGCGGGCGGATGCGGCTGTTCATCCTCCGAACCCGTTTCCACCTTGTCCCTTTGCTTCTCCCCCAGCTCCTTCTCCGGGATCTTCTGTGCCGGTGCTTTGCTCAAGATCCTTCCGTTCGCGTCCTTGCTCGTTGACCTGTTGAACACGTTTCTCGGATTGTTGCAACGATCCTTCGCAGACTCTCGGTTACTCCTAGACGCCTCCAGCAGCTTCTGCGCCAACAAGCGGGTTTTGTTGATCTCCGTCACGGGCTTTCTCTCCTCTTTCTCCGAGTCGCTCTTAATCTTCCTATCGTTGCCGCTTTTCGTTACCACTCTGGACGAGGGTTCCGACGAATGGAACATCTGCTGGATCCGGAAGATGTCCGAGCGAATCTTAGCGGAAGTCGGTACCTCGCACTTCTTGTTAAGAATCATCGGCGACTTCGATTCCGTCTTGTCCATTTTGGAAGGACTTCTTTGATTCCTCTGCGTCGGCGGAGTGTTCCTCAACCTCTCCAGATCCTTCAGGTCCGCTAAGAGAGAGCTGTGGGTTCTCGGTATCCTGGCGTTGCTCTCGTCGAGGCCGACGGTGACGCTGCGCGGCCGATTCTTCGACTCTGTCTTACCGATCTTGTCGGTCGGCGTTAAAGACTGATCCACGAAAATGGTTTCGCGAATCTCATTGATGTTACGCAGTTTAGGCGCCCCGATCTTCATGCCGGTAGTCTTCACGATCACCCTCTCGACCGACTCGATGTCCCTTTCGCGGCCCAAACGTCTCTCCTCGATCAGTCGCGCCCGATTGACGTCGATCGGCGCCGCGAACGAGCTGTGACCGATCGGGCCTTTAGCGGAACAGGCGGCTCGCAAATTCGGAGCGGGGTTGATGGGCCTGCTGCTGCGGAGCGGAGACATCCTGACCAGCTTCGGCGCATCTCTCGGGTCGTCCGTCTGCAAACTGCCTCGGTACACCATTTTTTGCTGTCGTTCTGCTCGATCGGTTGCTTTACGTCGATAAAGTGATGTGGAATTAATCGAAGATTATCATGCCAGTCGTTGCCCACCTGAAAAAAATTGAATATATTACTATATTATAATGTAAAATATCGTAGTTTGAAAGCGCATGACAGATATGTTATTGACTTAACGTCATCGTATAAGAAGAGACGAATGTCCATGTCCCTTACAGGATGAAAAGAGGCTTGTAGTTTCTCCGAGAGCATTAAAATGTTGCCCAAGACTGTTTCGCGTGAACGAAACGCAACGCTGCCGCACTGTGTGTGATCATAACTTTCGAAAGAGCTGAAACCGAATCCCTGTCAACAGCTTCATTACGTATCGTGTAGGTGACGGAAGGGCTAAATGGAGCCATAAAAGCGGATCGTTATCTAAGACGACCCACCGCTCGTTGAATAATACCCCTATTCACCTATCGATACGTGATGATTTAACTTTTCACCGCGGCATTACGATTCACTAATGGCTCACACGTCGACGTTAATCTATGCAAATTACCGCTGTGAAACTTCGCTGGAACGCCGCTGGAACAAAGCTCACGCCTGACTGAACAGACATTCGTGCAATCCCGGTCATTTAAGCTGCACGTGAACACGAATTTTAATCTGCGCGAAGTGCAGGAGAGATTCGATCAAATGTCAGGCTTCACGGTTAGCCGATAACTTTGGCGATTCAACGATCGCTTTTAACTATCATTTCTTTCGAGAAAACAAAGAGCAATATCACGGATTTATCGTGCATCTCGCCTTTTACAACGTGTCCACACCATGCAGTATTGCCATATTGAAACATTGGAGAGACCACGATGATTACATATACGTGACAACGGAGTAAATTAATAATAATATACCGAATCAACGTTAAATTACAATTGAATCGCGCAAAAGTACTTTAATTGCTAAAAACGCGGATTTTTTCTTCTATCTTTGAGAACTCGCGGAGAACGACTGACTGTCTTTCATTTTCTGTCTTTGAAACTCCCGTAACCACGATCCGGCGATTATCGGGCTCTTCGTGGACGTTGCATCTGCAATTTGTTCGAATGCAATTTCGCAATTATTATTTCCACGTTGCTCGACCGGGCGCGTGGCGGCAAGACATTTCTGCGGAGGTAGGGAAACATATCGACAACTTTCGAACCGAGCGTTGCGCCTCGATGGCAGAGTATCAATCTAAGGCGGCGAGGTCGTTCCACCTGCATTTTTCTCACTTTTGCAGCTCAAATCGCTTTGCGTAACACCGCTTGTCCGCTTGTCGTGCTACTTGCGCGACGAGGGGAAAAAATGTCAACACAACTCTCGCGGCTCGTCTCGACGTCAGACGGAGGGTCAGCTTGATTCGCAAGGTCGTTCCACGTTCAAGTCGCCGACCACGCTCCGGAAAATTCCTCCCTCCCCTCCTTCCCACGTCTTTCACGCGGGCGGGTATATATTTTATTATACTTATCAGGAAAAACGGTGTGGGGGGCCTCGTCGCCGAGACTATAATCGACGCGGATTACAGTCGGGAGCAGTCGGGCACAGTCGGTAGCTGCGTTTTATGTGGGTGTCGCGTAACGCATGTGGGCAGCGACCCCGCCGCACACGCTTTTGCAACACGCACACGCGTGTGTGCGTAGCGCGCGCGCGCGCGCGCGATCGTCCGCGTAAAACGTCGTTCAGATTACCGTTGCATGTTAATCGACGTCCGGCGCGCATTCTAATCGCGAGTCGCGAGATCGCGAATCGCTCGATCGCGGCGGATCGAGGGTTGACAGCCGAGCGTGCGTCTCGAGCCGCCATAAATGGCCAGCGCGAGCGACCGCACGGAACGACCGTGCGCGCGCGATGCCTCCTGCGAACGAGACAGATCGCTCGTCATTATCGACATTACTATGCGAGTACCGTCGTCGACGTGATACAAGCCTCATGACGCAATCGTTTCGTTCTTCTTAAGACGCAGTATCAGTTCCGGAGCTGTGCGGAGGTGAGAAGCTAGTTCATAATGTGCAAGCTTCTCTTCGGCTGAAGGAAGGTAAGGAGCGTTCCAGGATTAACCCTTTAAGGACCGAGCCGAATCCACGAAAAGGGCCTGAAGTCCCAAAAATAAAAATCCCTCATGTTTCGCTGAAAATCTGTACATGAGGGGTTTTAGTGATGCCGAATACGAATTTCATATTAAATTCCCGAATTTCAAGACAGCAGATCCAATATGGCGGGTCGATCACGTAATTCCCGTATTTTCCAGAGGAATAAATTCACTTAAACTCCACATTCAGGTTTTTTAAGTGCCGACTGCAAATTATTCGCAAATGGCATCCGAAAACAAGTTCGAAATATATATAAAAATTGCAAGATCGCATTATATAGAGATACATGTTTCGAGATAAGTACCATGAACTGTAGAAAAATAGTGGAAAAATTCGATGATTGAACAGGAGAGAAAAAGGACGGAGGAATGAGAAAGGAGATGATAAAAGACATTGAAGAATGAAAAATAACGAAAAAATTAGGAAAAATGGAAAGAAAATGAAAAATGAAGATGAAAAAATGAAAAAAAAACAAAAAATTAAAAAAATCACAAAAAAATAAAAAACAAAAAAAAACGAAAAAGTGGGATGTTAAATCCTGTCCTAAATTGTCAACCTCCTCGAATCCACAAAATACTTGTGGGGGATGCATCCTGGGGGGTACATTTTCAACAAATGTATTCGCGAATGTCAAGGGTAAGAATTTTTTGCATATATATAATATAATCCGTTATATTCACCAATGTCAATTTCTGAATTATAATGGAACATTCATATTTAGCATCCCTGAAAATCTCTATAAAAGTAATAGCAAGATCATACATATATTCTTTCGAAAAACCCCGTGTTGCCACAATATTGACTCCGCCATATTGATTTAGCCATTCTGAATTTCGGAAAACTGATGCCAAATTCGTATTCAGCAACCCAAAAAACATAAGGTCTCGCCAAAATTCATATTTTTAAGATTTTTTCAGCCTCAAGACGGTCATATGTTTCGTGACAAGATTCACGGAAAATCGAAAGAAGGGGCTATATTTCGTTTATGATGCGGAAAATGGAAAAACTGACTGCGTCATCGCGTTCACCGAGCTTGAAAACATCTAGTAACACTCTTTGTCATTATTTAGGACACGCCTGGACTTCAACATAATAAAATATTTCATGGCAAAGATTCGCCTTTTCCCGGACCTTTGGGCGAATTCCTAAATCAATACAAAGATCTTTGTCATCGGTCCTTAAAGGGTTAAGCCTCCCAGATATTTTGCAAATCGATTCGCCGGTCATGCGGACGGCACTCTTAAAATAAGACTTGACTCCGATTGAAGTGGGAATTATATCCGCGACGTGCAGACAATGCCACATTCTGCAGTTCACGAAGGAACCGTTGATTCCAGCCTGACAATGTCAGAGTCATGTAATCGCTCTGACATAATAGCTGCGCACGATAACAGGGTACCTGCTTCACTTGCTCGCTTCGAAAACTCCTCGGGGCTGAGAATTACTCGTTACCGAGCACAGGATTCCGCTAGGTCTAATTACATGCTATCAGTATGGATCGCGAGTTAATGAAGAAAACAAAAGCGCGAAGCTCTCTCGGTAACGTCGTCGGTAACGAAGGAACGTAATTAGCGGTGGTCTGTCTCATAATTCTGATTAAATACCTGCCGACTCTATATAGAGCTGCCTTCATTTCGAATTCGTAGTTAATTGCTAGCGACAAGCCTAATTGCCAATACTATCGCTTGTCGCTGGTTATTTTAAGAAAGTGCCCGCTGACGCTATATCCTTGATTTGGCTTGAATCTATTCGGAGCAACTAAAATCCTCAGTTCAAGCGACAATATAGATACAACTGTCTCATATAAGTTTAATTAATCTTCGAATACTCGTTACTTCACGTATACTTCTCGCGCCATTGTGAAAGTAGGATCAAAGGCCTCCAGACTGTATTACGTATATCTAACGAAGGGATGAAGGTGTTCGTAATAAACCAGGCAATTACAACGCGTACAGCAACCGCGAAAAATTCGGAAATTGTCATTTCCGAAGACTCATAATTCTGGAAAATTTGCAATTCCCAAATTCGAGCGGGCGATGTCCCTCTCATTAATTCTCATCACTCGGCACCCGATGCATCATGCGAATTCGTTCACGTGGTCGTGTGGATCATAAAAAATTCATCTCAAATTTTCGTCTCTTCCCTCGCGAAGGCTGACCGGTCCATTTGCTTGCTACTTTATCTAAAAATTATACCGTAAGAATGATAAGTAATTTTTTTTTCTTCCGCGTCAACGAGACGAGAATCGTTAAAAGGAGCCCGATGAGTAATCCCGAGTGTCTGCTTCTCCGACGAATCTGACCGGCATTTATATCTCGAGCGATTGCGATCACTTCGAGCGGCCTCGTTGTCGTTCTCGCGATCATCATCGTCATAACCGATGTACCTGAATCCGCGAATCCGTCACGCCGTGTGACGCTCGCTCGCTCGGAGGAAGACGCGAATAAATGCGCAAACTTCGCACGCGTTTAACGGAATAGACGTCGTTTCCCGTGCGCGACTACGGCCGAGTGCACGGCAAAATCCGAAATCGTCCATCACACGTCAACGCTTTTTATGCTTCCGGCAGCGCGCGTTCACGCGCGAGTAACCGCGCGCGGTTTAGGAGAAAGAGAGAAAGAAAGAAAGAGAACACGCGATTAACTACGGATTCACCTGGTCCGTTTGTCTCGGGAGACCGTGAGATTCGCAAAATCCCGCGCCGGATGGACAGATCGTAGTTCTTTTTCCCCTCCACCCACGGGGATCCAGTAACGGGAAACTCCGGCTCTCGCGGTTGCGGCCAGTCCCTCTCGTCTCTCGAGTCTACAACAAGAAAATTCATGCATTTTCCATTAGTATCGCGAGAGCGGATGATTTTACGGCTTTCCGCGCGTACAGTGCGTTGCTCCCATTCTCTTCGCTCGATGGGCTCTTTGTTAATCGAAGTGGCCGAGGAAATGCTCAGGAGGAGGCTCGGCCGGATCGAACTGTGAATAAATTAGGACTGGGGAAACCAGCAGCGTGTGAAATTTTTAATGAAATATGGACTATTCTTGCGAGATGCACAACAGCGCGAGCCGCTGACCCAAATCCGTGGACGATAAGAGGAAAATACGGAGGATCAAGAGATATAACTTATTCAAAAAGAGAGAGAGAGAGAGAGAGAGAGAGAGGATGTAAAATATTTTTGTAAATTAGATTTTTTCTCTGTGATACTTCTTGCTGAAAGCTTCGTGATGTCAGTGATAGTTCTGCTCACTTTTACAAAATCCATTCTGCTCGCTCGTAAGGCCGAGACGGCTGAGGACTTCTTTCGACCTGTGTATACTGCGTATACTTAACCGAGAGTAACTCCCGAGACGGCTATATTTAACTGCGACTCTAATGATTGCGCTCTCCGTCCCTTCCTTAGTCGGAGGTCGCAGCGCTTTGATTACGCCGCTGGGCACAATGTGAATCGCACATTCACCAATCTCCGTGTGAAACTTAGCGGATCGGCTTCCTCCGCAAAACATAGCTATTCCAAGCGGATTCGAGTGATCCAATTCCGTATAAGTGGATGAGAGCTGAACTGTTCTCGTCGCGTTGCAAGGCTGTGCAACAACGATCTGTCCCCGAAAGAGGCGCAACGCGAGTCGGCTCGCTGCCTCCTCATCCACGCGCTGATTCCGAGGTCTATTCTTATGACGTAATCGAATCAACGCGGCCCGTCGTCCAGCAGATAACAGCAGTCGCGCGATTGGTCCCGCTCATAAAAGCTGCGGATCGCGCGACCGAGTCGACATCATTCGTCCTGTGCTGATTAATATCTGCCATGTCCGGAAATCGGAGCCATCCTGCGTACGCGAGACAAACGAATCTCCAGGTGCTTAATCTTTCGTCGAAGAGAAGTCGTGAGGCGTTGCGTCGCGACCGACGACGCCTCAGTGAGGAATCGACACAATTCCGCGATTTCTTTCTGCGGAAAGTCGTGTATGCTTTGCGCATACACGAGATCGCGCACGCGAAAAGAACGATCATAACGGTGATTAATTAAAATTTCTGATCGCGCAACTAGCATACTACTAACTGCGGCGCATACTTCGCCGGCTGCTCCACGCTTGGAAACCCACTCTGGTCCGACTTCCGTGAGTAAGAATGGCTTATTTACAAGCCCGCGCTTTTTCTCCGCATCTCGCCCGTAACAACAATCTCTCGTCGTTAGTGGAATATTTATAATTTGCTTTGCCAGTAATGGAGTAACGGTCGAGATTGTTGTACATTGCCGGCGCGGCCACGTGCGGGAAAACGGTCGACTCGACATTCTCTCTCTCTCTCTCTCTCTCTCTCTCTCTCTCTCTCTCTCTCTCTCTCTCTCTCTCTCTCTCTCTCTCGGTGAAGACACGTATCGGACTCTTGCAAAAAAATTTCATCTACTTGTTAGACACCAGCGACGGCTCTTAAATTTGTTCCCATACTCGTGATTGCGAAGAAACGGTTGTTGTTGCATCTAATTGCCGGTACTTTCTCCACAGGGCACGCGAGAGTTATTCGAATCGAATTCTCCGTTTGATTCATTGCCCAATTTCGTCATCCCGCTGCTTCGATAAAAAGTTCGAACACGCGGCTGGAATGGACGTGGAATTTTCACTCTCCTCTCACCTCTCGGCTCATTCTATTTTCGCATCGTGTGCCTTAGGCCCCGATGAAAATTACGGATGTCAATAATGCACTCTCCCTGAGGCCGCGACTTCGCGAATCAGTTCTAATTAACGTTAAGTCGCTAATTAGTTGGAATTACCTTCGTGACAGTCGAGTTGCCGTTCCGCAGCGCGATCCCGAGGTCGTAAGTCAGCGGATTCCTTCAGCTCCAGCCTTCGGCTCGCTCCGTCACGGCTTCAGCTATTTTACCTCTCGTCTTCCTGTGATACCTGCGGGCTACCCCCCATGACGTGGTAGAACTGTTCTAGAATCCAAGTGATGTCGGGGAGAGAGCGCACTGCGTGTATGTTCGGGGCACGAAACTCGCGGAAACTTGATCGACAAGAACGTTCACGGCAACGCACATGTCATAATTGGCACGGAACCGAACTTTTCACATCACGCTGCCGGACACGCGCCGAATCACTACCGAAAGTGCGTACCTGCGTAAATGAGCGACGATCGTCGCATACTTCCCTCTACACTGCGCCCCCGGTATTCTCCGACCTTCCCTGGCGCACGTATTTCTTTCGGCGCGATTTTTTCAAATCGGAAATATAAGAAAGGAAATAAATGAAATATGAAACACGATGAATCTCTCCGCTCCTCGGAGTATTAATTTATTTTGTATTCTCTTTCGTGCTATTATTCTTCATTTGACTGTGCATGTTTGTAGAAATATCTTTATAAATTTTATAAATGTCACTATTTTTGTATACATGGTTACGTTCGCGCAATTGAATACATGTTTATGAGTATATTTCTAACATTTTGCATCTCTCTGCGACATATTGACGAACTTTCTTTGACGCTCTTCTAACGTGTCCGATGTATTTGAAAAAGAAGGAAGTCCCTTTTGTGATTGCTCGTATAATTTGATATTGTTCTCTCACTTGTCCGCTTTTATCTTCTCTCACTGTATCCTTCCTCGACTTCCTCCGCGGATTTATCTTCGCTCCACTTTGCCGCACTACCATGTGCGTACCACTCGCGGGGACGACTGCGACGGTCGCGACCGTACCATGTGCCCTCGTGCCGTGAGAAGCACTGAATGGGTTCTCCAGACACGAAACATAATCGCGTCTACGGCACAGGCAGCTCTCTGTAGGTACACTACTCTTTTCCTTTCCATTCCATTCCATTCCATTCCAGCGCGGCGGTGGGGTTTCCGTACCACACAACTCCCCACTGTGCGTGCACAGCGCGACCCACACCCACGCGACCCTCGATATACGTGGGTCGCCATCGACGTTGGCGGGAGAGAGAGAGAGAGAGAGAGAGAGAGAGAGAGGAAAAGAATGATAAACGGAGATTTATATAGATTTGTTTTATCGTGAGATAAATTCAAAAATAATAAAGAAACAAAAATATTGCCGGGGAAGAGAGAGACCGAGTTCGCGAATCAACTCCAAAAATAAGAAAGTTCAAATCGCACTGAACGGAAAAGGGGAATTGAAAACTGGCAGGCGATAACGCAAAAAGAGATACGTGAGCGACGAAAAGAAAGGAATCCCCTGTATGGTCGTTCCTCCAGATAAGTGGAGCCTCGTTGAAAGAGACGTGCGGACGCAGATAGCCGACTATTTTGGACAAAAAATGTGCTACGGCAATTAAGTGTTTTTACGATCGACGGTTTCGCAATGACACTTGTGTGTGTCACAACGTTGATCAAACGCGGACACTGCTTTCAGTTTTGACACTGAATAAACGGTGTTGACATTGTGTCGCTCCTGACAAACGATGACTCTCACTTAGAGCCCGGCGTCTAAACTTCGATTTCGGATCAATGGGATTGTCGCTATTACATAACGCTGTATAATTCAGCATGCGTGTAAGTACAGTAGCTAATCTCGTTTTTCTCTCTTTCTTTTGTAAGCTTTGATTAGATGATACTCCATCTCCACGATCTAGATTAATAATAGACGAGTTTGGTGATTCTTTTTCTAAATATATTCATATTCTAAATTTCAGTGAATTGTTCTTGTCTGTTTGCTAGCAGCATACATATTGCGTCAATTAGTTACGTTTCATTAATTAAATTATTTAGCTTGAGGCTGATGAACGAGGTCGGTCCGTGTGCAATAATTCATCCGTGACAGGCGTCTGATAATTTGATTATTAGACTCCTTGATATCTAATAATAGAACGGTTAGATAACACCCAACGACGATCTCGGTATCGAGGACAACGCACCCACGTTCTTGTCGAACTCACAATTTTCAGCCGTACAGCGGTAATTGCTGTTGCTTCCTTTAAAAACTATCAGCCGCGGCGGTGTCTCGTAAGGACAAATGATCCAGCGCGAAGCTAACACCTTCCTACGCTCTCGAACACGTTAATGAGCTTCGCGGTAGTAGGAGAGGCTCCAGTGGCGGATTTACCAAAGCAAATCTTTTGATCTTCCCACTCTCTGTCACGCTATTCTGCATGACAATAACTGTTTTCTTCGTCCTAGCGTAAATACTATTAAAATAATCGATTCTACGATACGCCTCTAGTCCGCTACGTAATGGCGTTATTATCACATTTTTCATGAGCCGCGGGACGTAAAATTCGTAGGAGTCAGCAATGTGAAAAAATTACTTTCGAATAACATAAATAAGCGCGGGTAAAGTTGTACATAAAAAGTTAGAGAGATAATTAGGTATTTAAAAAAATCAAATATAATAAAAAAATTTCACTCGACTTAAAGAGGTACATAATCTTCGACCGCATCGTATGTTACTGTTAATTAATTAATTTTAATTCCAATTAATTTATAAGAGCCATACTAAGTTTTTCACAGCAGCACAGCGCTGTTCCTTCCTTCTTTTGTCTCTCTTTTCTAAAATTTCCGAAGCCACAAAACGGGGTGATCGCAAAAGACGCTACTGTGCGAGCTACTTACGACTTCATTTCTCGTGCCGGCTTCCCATCCGTCATCGACATCATCGTCGTCATTGTTCCCTCTGCAACAATCGTCGAACTGACGACGCACGTTATTGTTTCCTGGTTCGTAATTATTGTTATTATTACGATCGGCTGCAGAAATTCTCTCGCCGCGGCGTGCGCGCGTGCGCGCCCGGCGCGATATAATGGCATTCTGGACAAGCCCAGAGATGACACAACGCGCCAACAATGACTACCACGTGCGGACTGGTCTGACCGTTTCTCCGGGACTCTTGTTTTTCTCCTAGAACGGCAGTTGTCGATCGTCGGCAACGATAGACAATCACGTCTACGGAATGCATTTCGAGGCCGCGCGACGCTGAGATGCATCGTTAAGTCTCATCTCGCGTGCAGCCGTCGCGCCGCTTCCATCATCGATGGGTCCGAGGCACCTATCAATTTTCCACCATCGAGCGACCTCCCCGGAAATGCAGCGGACGATCAGTCGAGTCTCTCCATCTGCGAATCATCTTCTCACAATGTGAATCGACGATGCGCTTAAAACATCTTCGCTATGCGCGCGATACGCAGCAAGGAGTAAGCCTGTTATTTTCAAACGCGAAAACGGAGTTAACGACTTCTTAGGCGCTCGTTTAAACGCGTCTGCGTCGATCAATCAGCGAACAAGCGCGCTTAATTGCTCTGTATTAGTATTGAATGCAATTACGCAAGAGGGGGACCAATTTCATCACGACACTGCCTTTCGTTCCGAGCAGACGCTCATGCATCCGCGCGCACACGTGTCTGCATGTATTCTGCATAAGCGATGCAAAAATTCGCCCGGCAAAAAATTCATTTAGAGCCCGGCGTGTAATTGCACATTCGCCACGCTTAACGGAATTCAAGGTGATCTCGGCGATGGAGGAGACGCCGCGGAGAGGATCCCGCTACAGCCTCACGTGAGTATCGCGTGCTGCTTAGCTTTAATTTTCCCACCCATGAGTCTAGGATTCGCACGAAGACGCGTTCATGTCCGTAATTGATAATCAACGCTATCGCGGCAATCTTCGACGGAACGGTAAAGGCAACGCGCGCGCGCGCGCGCGCCGCGCTCGTCTCGCGCTCTCTACACATTCAAACGGCCCCGCCGCCAGCTCCCCCCCCCCCTCGGGGCAGATTGATACGCGCGTGCGAGTTTTTCCTAATGAGGCAAAGGTCACTTCCGGTCAGACGGAAAGCGGAAACATAGTGCGTGCTCGCGCGCATCCGGTAAGGCCGTCCCGACGGCTATGCTACTTGAATGCGCGTCGGACAGACAGCGGGAAACAACCGCAGGAGCCAATGTACCTCTTTATTGCACTTGTATTCGCAATTTTCTCGGTCTCAGTGACAGTCGTGCGAAGCAATAATTTACAGATACAAACGGGAGAAAGATCGTTGCTCGGATAAATATCAATCCAAGAGCATGGGTGATGAAATCTTATTCACAGCGTGATAATTTAACGGAAATCGCCCCGGTCTCGAAACGAGGTTGTTTCATATTTTGCATAAATCAAATGCGTAAGATAAATTGGATCGACGGTTGTTCTTACTTAGGCTCACACATCAATCAAATCAGATCGATATCGATCTGTTGATTTCTCGGCCCGTTCGATTTGATGAAGACGGCATTCTTTTATTGATATCGAAGTTGCATCGACGACTGATTCAAAGTCATCAAAGTTGTTGATTTCCGCATAATTTCAACTCGATCCCGACATGATTCCGAGCGGATTCTTCTTCGACTCGTGGGCTCGGCTGCGCGACTGCAAAGTCGTCGAAATTTTAGGGAGGATCGTGTCCCACGACTCCTACGCGGCTCCTCACGTAAGGTAACAGTCACGCGCACGTGCCGCTATTTGACGAGGTTATGACATGTACACGAAATCAGGAGGGCGTTTACGTTCTTGTAAATCAGACATGTCGGGCATGCCTCGTTGCATTCGCGTGGGCAGGATCCACGTGGGCGAATTTCGCCAAAGGTCGTGGGTCACGCGCCTCTTTTGATTTTTATTTTACTCCTTCGTGAACCTTTTCTTTTATGAATCGACGTGTCTTCACCGCGGCGCGGCGGCGTGTCTCAAGCCAGAAGCGTAATCGCCATTGTGCAATCCATCCCGCCTTCTTCTCATGTAAATCGTTTTTTCGCAACACGATGACGGTCAGCGTGCTCCTCTCCCCGGCTGACGTTCGGCCCCGAACGAAACGTATCTTGGGACAAATCCTGTCGCGCAGTGATCGTTACCGAGATCCTCTCATATGCGCGGCCCTCGTCCCTCGCCTCGGCTGTGAGACGCAACACTGAATTTTCCCTGGCGAATAACGCGAATGGCGCGAGACGAGACGATTGCCGCTGCATTTGCGGTGAAAGCGATTTCGCGAAACGGAGAATGCGCGGCACGGCACGGAAAAACACATGCATTACTGGTTACCGAGAATGCGCTCGTGTCATTGTTACTCGCACGTGACACGGGGAAGAAAGGAGAAAATGGCGCGACGTGAGCCGTAGGGATTAACGAAGGCTGGTTTATACGAGCCGTCGCGATTCCGTTCGGGGGATTTAAATTTAGTTCATTCTCAAACGCACACGCATTGTGTACGCCGCGTGTACGCGTTGCACCGTCCGTTGTGCTTTGTCGCAAGGAAGCGAAGTATTTCGGGAGACAAACAGACGTCGATGGGAGCACAGTTGCGAAGAGTAGATTTAAATAAAGACACAGTCGGGACAGTCATGTACAAGCTGGCAAACAGATATTTAAGTCGTGCATCGTTGTAGTCGAATTATTCCGGAGTCCGATTATCACTGGGAAATAAGTGTCGAAAATGCGGAAGAGTTCTTTCTCGAGAACTTTCCGTTCTCCAACAACGCATCATGGCCAGTAGCCAATCGGTCTTCCGTAGTAGTTCGTATTGTAGAATGGTGGAAGTTTCACATTTACTTTGCTGTTTCTTCCTCGCGGTTTCCTAGCAACTCTGTCGCTCTGTCGTTTCTTAGTCAAGCCGATCTTGCGCCTGCTTTTGAAAACATAATACGCTTTCTCGAGCATCAGAATAAATATTCCCAGGACTATGCCGCCTGCCACCATCGCCAGAAGCGGCGCTATGCCCCGCAGACCAACCTGTGTGAGTCGAACTTTCGGGGGATTGGTCGTTGAGAGATACTCCTCTTTCAATCTACTCATGACACCGTTGTCCAAAAATCGTCGTATACTAAAAAATGTAATTGGAATGTAGAACGAGAGGAAGGGAAACACGAAGGACAAGAAATCTCCATAAGGACGCACGTATTCAGTTGCAAATGAATAATCGATATGCGTGTTTTATGGACTCACTGATAATTCAGGATGCCGGTGTAAGGACTCTCCTTCCGTAGGATCATCGCTATGCTATCGGATTTACCGGTCTCAATGAACACGGTCTTACAATGCTCATGTACGGCGTTCTTCAACACCTCCGTCGTATAAAACGCCACTTTCTTCTCCTCGCAAATCTGCGCGAGAGTAGCGTGTGAGCGGATTCGGGAGGAATCTGTTTGATTAAGCGAAACTTGAATAACTTACTTGCTTGAATCCGTCCTCCTCAATGAGCGGCAACAGTTCCTTCGCCTTCATCGACTCATTCATCTTCAGCAAGATGAAATTCTTGGCATTCTGCAAGTCGAACAATAGGAATTTTACAGTTACATTTTTACATCTCTTTTACATTTTCCGTTTGCATTTTTAGATTTCTCAGAAAATCGATGTAGCGTAATTAAATTTGGAAATTAATTTGGCCCCTCGGAGCTCTTGGACGAGAGAGAAAGAGAGACTTATAGTTACGTTTATGTCAAGATCATCGAGAGAATGCAACTCCCGTAATAACTCCGCGATAAATAAGCGCTGTTACGCGAACGTCAGTTTCTACTTCTCGCGTGAACGACATACAACGGCAACATACTCACGTAAAACATGTCGTAATCGGCGCTGTTCTTGATAACGATTAATTTATAAGAGCCGTCATCGACGTAACCCTCCACGGTAGAGAAAGGCAGACTGGCCATGGGGAGCGTCAGAAAGCTGATCAACGAAGCGGAATAAGCGGCCTGGATTATTAATGACGAGACAAAAATCGAGAGGAAAGCCAATCTCATCGACGACTCGTTGGGAAATTCTTCAAAGAAGAATGCGCGTTATTCCCAAGACAGGAGAAAGACAAATTGTATATTCCGTTAGATCAGAAAACGCGCTAAATAAGTAATCTAAAGCGAACGTATTACCCGACAGACCCTGCTGGCAAATTATGCTCCAGACGTGCATGTAGTTCTCCATTACCAGACTTATCGTGACACATCCCTTCGCCTTTATAATGGCTAACAAAATAGGAGCGCACACGATTATCGACAATATCACCGCCCAGATTTTGAAGTCGAACGCCTAAAGAAATTATTCCTTGTCAAGACGGATGCTATTCATCGTGAATTTTCGTGAAGACGTTCATGCTCGTCAGCTTTGACTTCAACGTTCTCAATTGTCCTCAATTTTTGTTTTCATTGCCGCGAAAATGCGGACAGTGTATAATTTTTACCTGAAAATATCCGAGCCAATGCACGTCGGAGCGGTCGGGCTGCTTTATATAGAGGCGATTCCGCGAGTATATCAACGGCAACGTAAAGTCCACGACATCTAATCGGTGCGGCGTCACCGAGAATTCTCCGACGCCGAGGTCGGCTTGGTCGGCCACCAGTTGGCCGACCACGCCAGTCCACAATTCTGTCTGCTGATTCCAGCTGCCGTACGCCTCCATCTGATCCAGAAGCTGCATCTTGAAGTTTATCACTTTGCTTAGCTCCAACAGCAAAGCCCCGAGGAACCCGGCGACCGTGCCGTTCTCCAGCAGGATAAACGGCGATTCCTTGAAACGTCGATTCAACTAATTGGCGAATTTACTATATCGGGCTAAATCATCGACTCACGTGTGTTTCCAAGCACAATCAGAGCAAGACGATATTCAAATTTCTCGATGTTTCTAAAAATATCAAATGTCTAAGAACAATTTGGAGAATATAGCTTACATATACAGATGCCACGCGCACAACCTCGCCGAACAGATCGCTTCTCCTGCCGTAAAGGCTCTTCCGAGTCCTTAAAAATAGACCACTATCGGGACTCCACGTGGCGAGCTCGAATGTTCGGGTGCGATTATCGCTTATGGCGTACCATTCAGTCAAAATCGGCTGGCCATAGCAGAAGACCAACATTATGGTGTTGAAGTTCACGTTAAATATATTATAGGTAGGATGTTTGCATTGTGCCTCGAGGGCGTGTTCAGGATCCTGAAGAAACAGGATGAGCCAGATAGGGAAGGAGATGGGCCTTATGCTCTTGGTAACGCTGGCAAATTCATTGATGCTCTCCTTGGAGTTTAGAATAATGACGAACAACGGCCGCACAATCTTCCGATATTCGTTATATTCGCTCAGCAGGTTCACAAAAGTCATAGTCACAGTTATGACTCTCTGTCGCGAAAACTCGCGCGACCACATGTGCATCATTGACGTTAGATTCAGATCTGTGTCAGGTAATACGCGTGAAGACGATACTTCATTAGGTATCCTTGTTTTCAGTGTTAATTGGATATAAATAGTTCGACAATATGATAATTTCAACGACAGTCTTTTATGAAACTTTTTGACAGTACAGACATTTCAAGGTCAATAAATAACTTTTCAATGCCGTGCTTCTATCTAAAAAAATATATTTGATACTTCGAAATATATAATTCGCGTGAATCTTTAACATCTTATCAAAGAATTTATTTTATATTTGTACGTGAAATTTGCACATAAGATTTCATCGGCCCCGTCCGGCCGAAAGTATATAAAACATCAGTAACTTGTTTTCAATACTTACCTTCATAATTGCCGTGATGAACAAAAATAACGCACGATGTACGGTAATATTTGTGAACGTCAAAAATCAGCGGGAGATAATCATTAATACCTATTCTCTCCGTCAGCGCTTTGACTGTCAAAACCAAGAAAAACGTCGCGACCGGTCGCATCGTTAAGCCTTTCATCCCTCAAGGTATATTCGTAACAATTCGTATTCGTAAAAGTTCGTAACAATTTTGAAAATTTTGTTCTCAAATGAGTCCAATGAGAGAAAAGTCCTCTCTCATGTTGAGACTTCAGCAAGTCACATCTGAGCAATCACTCTGCCGATCATCGAATGTTGAAATTATTCCGTCTCCGGAAAACTCTTCAAAGAACAATTTTACAATTGTCAGAAAAAGAAAATTAGTTTGATGAGTTATAAAAAATTATTTCTCAAACACACGAATAAGGATGATCGTGCTAACACCAACCATTGCACGTGTTGTCAATGAAGTTCTACCTTGAAAATATGACAGTCGTTGTTAAGAAAGAAAACAGTAAGACCCGCAATTCAAGAGTGCGAATGCGCGACTGAAGGGCGATCGTCGTGGACGTATGAATTTATCGGATATCTGCGGATCCAAGGGTGTGCACGACGAAAGTGCTGTCAGGTGATGAACTACCAGCGCCAACATATCGTAACGTTCGTCCTCGCACGTCATACATTACCATCGCTCGGCTGCGACTGTGTTACTTACAAATTGCCTCGAGATACAACAAAACCATGAATTATTTTACATAATCGCGCTCCCGCGACGAGCATTACGCGGCCGCGCATTACCGACGGTGGTTGTTATTTCGGACGTGTTGACCGTGTGTTAGCTTTTAGCTCGCACACATGAAGATTAGCGTAAATTTAAGCCTGCAAACCTCGTAAAAAGAAAAAAGTACAATGTCATGAATCAGCAGGTAAGACTTCTCGGTATCGATAAGTCGGTACGTCGATAGCGAGAGAGATTAGTTGCTTACGACGTTGAGTATCGTAATATTATACGTACGAGGAACTAATTTTTCAATGCGTTAAAATTGAAAGAATATTCACGAGATGAATAATTAAGATATTTTTCAATTTTACTCTACATTCTTTATTTATATAACATATTGTGTGTGTATTTATTTATATAACACATTGTGTGCGTATTTTAATTCATAGAATATGGAGACGCGATACGGCATATTTTACACACATAATTAATATACGTAATTAATAGTAATTAATAGATATCTCTTTGGTATCATTTAAGTGTACGTTGCAAATTTACAAATACACACATACACACCAGACGTGAAAGCAATGTACTTTTATATCGAGTACCAAAGAATTAACATTGAGTGGAACCGTTAATTGTTTTATACGCTCGATCATTACTTGACAATGAACCGATGTTTCTTCGAGCGATAGAAGGCTCTCAAGTGACGTCTTCTTTTCTCTCTCTCTTTCTTATATCGGTAATGAATACTCTCTATCATCAATATAGCAAAGCTTAAAATAATACCCATGCAGAGTATAGACAAAATCGGGACGATGTTAACAGCGCTGACCGGCTGATAAGCCTTGCTCTCGACCGACTCCGTTAAGAATCGCGTATCCCTCAGACGCATTAATATGCCATTGTCCAAAAATTTCTGCAGACTGAAACACACATTGATGTCGTAACTTGAATTTCGTAATATCGAAACTTACTTTATTGCCCTCCCGTTAGATTTTACATCACGTGTTATCGTCCACGCCTAACTCGGTTAGTGAACACGGTTTAGAGGATGTGTTACTGGATACATACTTTGCATGTTATCATTAAGTCATTGCAAACTTTATCGAATGTCCAACCGACGGATTGTAAATTCTAAATAATTACGTTAAAAAAAGATGTATTATATTTTTCTATTTGTATCACCGTTCGCGATCGGTAATCACGAGTTATCCAGAATGTTGAAGATCACGTTAAAAAATAGGCTAAATGTCTGCTATGGTACTCACTGATAGTTTATCACGCCTGTGTATGGATTACCTTTGGACAAAACCATGCCTAAGTTGTCTATTCTTTCGGTCCTGACAGAAGACAATTTGCACGGTATCCTCATTTCCACGCTCTTCTTCAAAGCATTCAGCACGAGATAGGCGAGCTTCCTATCGTTACATATCTGGATAAACAATGGAACAATACCACAGTCTAGAATCTCTTGGAACACTTTAGAAATCGTCATAAAATTGTGTGATTTTTTTACCCAAGTGCCAACCGATACAAGAAATATTTATGTCAGCCATACTTGCGTGAAACCGTCGATTAAAGTCACCGGCAGCTCCGATTCCTTTTTCATCAGTCTCAGCAACTTCAAGGAGAAAGATTCGTTCGACGCCTAAAACGGTCACGTAACACATTGGTTTAGCGTTTAGCAGAAAAGGCTGCTTCGAAATTGTGAAACTTGTAAATTTGATTCACATGCGTTCTTAATCTTGACTGAATTTAAGAATCTAATTGGTATGCACCAATAAGATTTGTAAATTTTACAATTGCGAAGCAACTTTCTCCGCTCAATGCAGTCATTAGCCATCGTATGTTGAGTGTGCCGGCATCAATGAAAACGTGACAACTACTGAATACATTTACGCGTTTACGACTTCACGAACGCATCCTGTGCAAGGATCAAGCGCGTAACATTCATCATATTTGAAATGTATACGAGCAAAAGTCGAAATCTCTCAATTACGAAGTGAACTTACGAGGATTATGTCGTGGTCGGCGCTGCCGCGTTGAATTATTAGTTTGAAGGTGCCGTCGTTGACGAATTCGTCTATCGTGCGAAAAGGTAGAACTCGGACGCATGCTGTTAGAAAGCATATCAATGCCGCCGAGTAGTAAGCCGATATCAGTACCGCCGTGCAAAATATCGTGAAGTACGCGATGCGTAACGACGACGGCCGTGGAAAATCTAATGGTGGAATTGAATCTGCTTATTTTAATCTGTATATGCTACAAATTGGAAAAAAAGGAGAGAAAAATACTCTCACAAGCGTCGCTTAATTTTTCGATCGACTGGAAGAAGCTAATTTAGCGTTTAGTGCATCTGGAGACAGTTTGCAAATACTTTTTGCGTAGACGAGTACCAGTACTCGCAGCAGTAGAGTACCTATAAGCGCCTGTTGGCAGAAGATACCCCAGGTGTAGATGAAGTTATCAGATATCAGGTCCGAGATATTCCGAGACCCGCGACATATTTTCATGAAGCACAGCAGAAGCGGTATAAGCGCTATTAGCGTGAGAGTCGCGATCCAAGTACGTGAATGGAAGGTCTGCGGCAATAGTATGAATCACAAATTACCGACTTAAAATTAATAAGAATACTGTTGAAAAGTTGCGTTGAGCGAAATGGAAAGGTGCAAGTTAGTCGGCGAATATTATTTAGCGAAGAAATTCTTCTTAGCCTCATTTAGTCTCCGTTTGTCGTTAAATAATCTTTAGTAATATAAATAATTGCAAAAATGGGGAGGATGTTATTTCGTAAGAGAGAAACAGTATGATTATTATTTCTGAAATAGCGATAATATACAGAACGAAAATGAGGATTGCAGAAAGGTTTCATGTAATTCTTCTATATATTTTAATTACCTGAAAATAACCGAACCATTTGACGCCGCAAATTCCCGGCTCTTTGATATACAGACTGTTTCTAGATATTATCAGGGGTAGCGTGAAATCGACGTAGCGTACCCTAAGACTCGTCATCGACATATCGGCGATGGCGAAGTCCGCATAACCCGACACGATCTCGCCCATCACGCCGGACCACGTTTGATTTTTCCTATTCCACATACCGTGCTCGTGTACCTCCGATACGACTTGCAAGGTAAAGTTAAGAGAATACGTGAGCTCGTCCAACACCTTCCCGTACAAGCCAGCTATATAATTTTTCGTGTGATTCGGCGAAACTGACTCATCCTGAATATTCGAATTAAAAAAGAAAAAGGGGAAGCAAATAGGTTAATCAATGCTGAACATTAACACTGATTACACTGGAATACACTGATTACAAATTCCATTTGCCTTAATTTTAGAAAAGTCCGTCGTGAAACATACGGAGCGTATAAATAATTATCCTCGTTTCTATGTTTCGGTAACGGATTTTTTTAATCTCATCGAGTACCTTAACAGTGACCGCTCGCAGGACAACCCCCTCCATATCCTTCTTCCGATCGTACAGCGACAATTTCGTCAGGGGAATGAATCCCTTGTTGTCCACCCACTTGGCCAGATTGAAGACCTTGGTAGTCTCGCCCTTGACCGAGTACCATTCGCGCAGGATCTCGTCATCGTGACAGATGACCAGCATTTGCGTGTCGAACGCCAGATTGAAGGGATTGCCGACTGGATTGTGGCAGTAATCGTGGGTGTTGTTGCCGGGTGTGTAGAGGAACAGCACGATCCACACCGGGAAGGACATTTCGTATGTCTTGGTGGCCTCCATAAACTCCAAAAATCCGTCGTAACTCGGCATGATAACGATGGCGAGAGGCTGTACTATTTTATGATGGTACCTGAGTGATTTGTGTATCTTCTTGAAGTGAACGTTCAACGTAACTACGTAGTGTCGTCCCAACATAATGGAGCACGTGTGTACCAAGTGCGTGATTCGCAGATCTGCAGCGAAATTTGGGTGAATTCAGCTCAAGCTACGTAACGTCTTTCTCTCGAAGTGATATATGCAATATTCCGTTCGTGAATTGACATCAAGAGGAGAAAACGATCAAATTCTCCAAACGAAATTAAAATATTTATACGATGATTTTCTACGTTAATTTTCTCTCGTTTTATTTGATCGAATTGGAAAGAGAGAAGCTCGTCAAAAGATGTTGTTTTAAAGTCGAACGTCGAATCGTGCGGGAATAACGAGTGCCGACGAACGACGACGATAAACGTTGCGACGTTTATCGAGTAAACGTTTATTTAATTAGATTGATATTTGCGAAATATCTCGTGGCACAAACGAGCGCGTCTGTTTCCGAGGAAATATCGCGCCGTTTGGAGAACCTCAGGACTGACCTCCGTAGTCGCCGTACTTGTCGCTGGGATGAGTGAATATGACGGTCGCCGCTGAATAAAATTTCCGCAGATCCAGAATCACGTTGACGAAGCTGCTTACGTTGAAACGCAACTCCGAATTTACGAAAACGAACAAAAGCATCGGATACGCGAGGTAGAGTGACAATCTCATTTCGCGGCGCGCACGTCTCGGACGGGAGTAGCGCGAGTTTATAGCGCGGTAGATCGGAGAGACCAACTAAACGGCTAAAATTTCCGCTAAACGGAGCAAATGCTTCTCTAATGCAAGTGCTGTGTGACGTGTATGCATGTTGAACGTATCCGATAATGTAATTGCGGAAGATATGACGGAGATAGCAAAATAGAAATGCCGACGAAAATGCTGCACGTCATATGCGTAATTTCTGCAACTGCGTTCCCCTTCGATCATAAATCTCACAAGCTGGATGCCTCAAATTAAAAGTCTTCAATCGGAAATTACGTATTATAGCGGTTCGAGAATATTCGTACAAAAAATTCGTATAAAAAATTAACAAGTCGCGGAACATAGAAATAAACGCACTTCGTAGAACGCAGCAATGTGCATCTCTGTTTATTTTTAAATGACGCTTCAAGTTTTTGTTGAATATTTTGCATAAGTCCGTGCATCCGTGTCGAATTCCAAGACACGGACCAGATGCATTCATTTTCTAGATCAGACTTTGATGTGAGTCACGCATGCGACACGGTGCAAATACAAATGTAAGCAGCAAACGAGATCTCCGTTTTTTACGCTATTGAAATCAACGATTTGCTGTCACTTCAGTCAATGAGAATTTCAAAATCTCGAGGCGTACCGACGTCAATATCCGACCCTGACGTGTCCGCGCGCGGGAAACGCATTTCAATTTATAATATCGCACGTCAGGTAAACATACCGCTAACTGACCGCTATCAGTTCCATTAGAAAATTGCGATAAAAGACTGAGAGCAGATCGCATCTCTTAAGCGGTGTTTATCTCAGGATTAATATTATCGGAATGCTACTGACGCGTTGATTGACAAGCGCATAATAACGCTCTCCTTCACTCCCATTGTGCGAAGACTAGAAAAATGATCATTTTTCTCGGGTTACGTGGTGCAGTGCATATTATGAAGGTCGCTCAAAAAATACGTAGCCTAACCAAGAAGACACATTGTCTTGTGCAAAATGTCATTTTATTTTGCAACACGAAGAAAATTCGGATTGCGACAAAAATATACCGGAAGCTCGCGAGATACAATGAATTTCTTAGAATAATGTAAAGCTATTGTAAATTTTAAAAAGTGAGGTGATTCATCGCTCCGCGGTGGTTAAACGGAACTGAACACGATCAAATTTGCGTTGTAACGATCATCACTGAGCGATAGAGACTGAGCGAGTGACCGATTCGCTTCTAGAACTTTGTTGGTTCTAGTCATGCACGATGAGTTTGCTCACTTACAAGCGATATTGACGGGAATGGTGACGAAAAAATTAAATCCAACTCTACTTTTATCAACACTCTCCATAACGTCTCCTCTTAAATCTGTTATCTCATTTAGAATCAGAATGTGTCGAGTAATTAAAACTCAATACATACGATTATATTATACCGAAATTATATTATAATCGCAAATAAATCATTCTTTTATGATAATAATCAATCACGGATTTTTTTCCTCTACGGATTATGCACAATGATATCAATTATTTGCACAAGTTTACAATTTTACAATCGTTTTCCACCGTGCGAGAAGAAAGAGTCATCATTTTCATCGCTTGCACAGAAAATTTGAAAATTGCATCAAACGGAGTTTTTCGTCAAAATTACAACGCGGTTGGAATTATTGAAGACTGACAACTCGATTCTTAACTTGATGATAAAGATAGAATACAGTTGTCTTTATTGTTGTCTTACTACCACTTTGTTGTTTATCGTATACGTTCGATAACAACTATGTAAAACTGCGCAAACACGACTTTTATTATATTTATCGTTGCCAGCACGTAAGCGCACAAGTTAGACTGGAACGTGACTTTCGCATCACCGTACAAAGCCACCGCGACTAAACGCGCACTTTTCCCTGTTATTTTCTAGACACTTCTAGATTATTATGTCTCACTCAGTACTTCTGCATGCTTTCCGCAAAGTCCTCAACACATTCGCCGCTGAAAATGTACATATCACGAATATTTCTAATATATGCAACCTCTTCTTTATCTTTTAACGTGTCTTTATTTTAACGTGTATTTATTATTTTATCTCGAAATCTCGAAAACTATACATCAAGCATCGCGCATTAAATGATGAAAGAAATGAAGCGAGCATTGATAAATAACGTCAATCTCTCGATTTTTCATGTTTAAAATTTTAAATATCAGAATAATGAAAAAGACATAGTCTGAGAATTATATGTTCCAAATATTTATATATAAATAATCGCTAAAAAATGGAAACAAGATGGAGACGTCATCCGTGTTCTATTTTAAATTGATTTAAAGGTCTTTTCCAGATACGCTCGCAAATTTATTACAGCTTCTCAAATCATTTTAATCGATGTGTCTTATTTTTTGAATGACTAGCACGCAATTCACTTTACCCTCCAATATTTCGGATTGCGAAAAGTTTTTTAACAGCTAATCTTAAATTCTAACAACAATTCATACTGTTCAAAAATAGCTATTAAAAACTTTTATTTATGTTATTTATCTATGTTGTAATTATAAGTTTATGCAACTTTATTTATGTTATATAATTAGTATAAATAAAATAATTAGTATAAATAAAAAATTCTATAACATACTAATATCCAATTTGGTACACATAGAAGTTCTCTCTGGAACTTTCTGGAAGTGGAAATCGCATGGTAACTTATGATGCAATTGCGTAGCGAAATAGACGCAACTGATGATGTTACTTTCATCTTCATACAGCAATGAGTCATCGCGTACAGTCACGTGGCCGTCTCCTGTCAAAATTGGCGTCTCACTCAAAAATGGCGGCGCGCTCATGACTTCCTTCGTTTGAATCTCTCTTGGAACGGATCTTTGCCGTGGCCTGAATCGTAGAATATCGATGCGAGACTTTGCGCATTGATGCATTTTGACTTCATTGTGCATAAATTTCCAGCACATCGTGGAATAACGGCTCAGAAAAGTGAGAAATAACGTGAAATAGACACGTAGCCGGAAATGACTGGTGACTGGCGACTGCGCCGACGCAATGACCGAGAGTCGATTATCGATCGTGTATATAAGCATACAACGTCGGCGTCGTACCGTCGTACCCAACATATGACGGGCGATTCTCGAAGCGAACGTGTTGTGAACTAGTAACGCTTACTATCGTCGCCATATTCCCTTTCACTATCATAACAAAGTTATCGTGATCTAACAGGCGCAACGATGAACAAGCTGAGCTTCAAGGTGTATCTGATAAATGAAGAGCTGAACAAGCGCACGGAAATTCGTAGATTTTGCCTGGATCTCAATGTTGCGAGGAACTTCGTGACTCTGCACGAAAAACTGCAGAGCATTTTCCCGGAGCTGCATGAGAAAAATTTCATCGTCACTTGGAAGGGTGAGCGTCCTAATTCTTCCTTTCTCATTCTATTTTCTTGCTTGGTGTAGTACAATGCATCGTTTCGGGTCAAAGAGAACCCATCGGAATTAACACACCTATTTTACAACCTTAGCGACAATTGTTACGTGTTATTGCGCAGTTATCAAACCCGATTGATAATGTCGCCCGACATGAAGATATGACCTATGACCTCCGTCGATTAACATAATACTCATTATAATAGATATAATAGATCTGGCATAGTGAAAGTCTTTGCACTAATATGAAAATTGCTTTTATCGCTTTGTTTACCAGTATAGTTTCTGACAAAATATGGGATATTTTATTTATTATAATTTTACATATTCATATATGTGCACGTGTGTGTGTGTGTATTTGTATATTTTTTAATTGTATATGATATATAGTCAGACCTGCCACTGAACCAAAGACCATTCTTGATATCTTTATCTTTCACTTTATGCATAGTGATTTTAGAAAAGGATAAAATTAAAGAACGAATATTATCCAACACAAAATTGGACACAAATGTATGTAATGAATCTAAAAATTGATCTTTTTGAAAGTAGAAACATTTTTTGATTTTATTAACATATATGTTTATTTGTATTTCTGCATGAATTTATATATACAGAGTTAAAAGAAAAACATTCATAAGATAGGTAGTACACTTTATATTCAGGAAAATAGTGTTAGTAAACATAGATAGGAAATTCAATTGTTTCTGAGATGTAAATGAAAAATTGTTTATATCTCAGAAACAATTGATTTTTCAACTTATGTTAAAACTAAAATATTTACTTAATATGTATTATCTACTATATGAATGTTTTTTTTTTGACATTATATATTCTTAAATTTTTAATTCTTTTTACTTTAATATATATATACTTGTAGAATATACATTCTTGATACTTTTATAACATTTATAACTTTTATACTTTTATAACATACATTATATTGAAATAAACAATCAAAAATTGAAAATAAGCAATTGATGTTTGTATAAGCTAGAAAATCAATTGAAGTGTACAAATTATCTAATCTGTTAACATAATTGTCTGAATATTAAAAAATTCTTGCAAGATAGTACTTTGCAGCATGATTTTGTTACATTATACAAATATAAATCTCTTATTCTGCAATGAATATGTTCTTTGTGTGATAACAATGAATAAGGATCGATTGCATGGTTTCTAAGTAAAGCAAACTGATTCATTTATTTTCGTAACCAGATGAAGAGGACACCATTGTGATATCGACCAGTGAAGAGTTAGAGATTGCGTTAGATGAAATGGGCAAACATGAGTCAGTCAATAAGCTGTATGTCATTCTGCAAAGCGAGAAAGGAGATATGCCAAACCTGAGAACCGATAAATTACATCCTGGTGTAACTTGCGATGTGTGCGAAAACAATATACGCGGCTTTCGTTTCAAGTGCATGCAATGCCCAGACTATGATCTATGTACCAGCTGTATGACAATGGGTTATCATTCTGAACACTTCATGGTACGTATGACAGAACCGGTCGAGTGGTCGAGCTATCATGGCCGTCGACTGGCACATCATATGCGCAAGTTCATGAAGAAGGCAAGCAGCACAATGCAGCATGACAGGGATAAGGACGACGAGACGCGGAGGTGCCCGTACAAGACTACCAATAGCAAAAAGAGTGGTTGTTCAGGATTGAACATGACAGGCGGTAAAGTTGGCTTTGATCCCTCTTTTGTAGACTCGGTGGAGGACTTCGTAAAGAACATATGTCTTTCATTAGAAGAACCGTGTCGCGAGCAGAAGCGGTCTAAGGAGCAAAAAAGGGATCCGTCAACTGAAGCCGCTACAGAGGCGACCGAAGACCCGCAGCAGACCAACAGTTTCATGCAGCTGCTGAAGTTGTTCGAGCAGAATGTTTCCCAATTTTCGCAGTTTTTGGATCCGCTCGGCATCAATATCGTCGTGACATCCGACAACGATAATTCTGCCAGCAAGTCTACCGCTAGCAAACCCGCCACCAATAGCACCAAAGCTACCGAGACTAGCACACCTTCACAATCCGATATCTCTGCAAAGTTCCCCGGCGAGGGAAAGAAATTGCGTGACGATATCCCAACGGCGTCTGCAAAAACGGCAGCGCAGACATCTGCGATGGCGACTGCGACAACAGCTGCGAGTACGGCAACAATGGAGAAAGAGTATTGTGCAACGACCAATATATCATCATCGTCGTCGTCGTCAACATCGTCACCTCAGGTCACTCAGAAAGTTGGCTTCCGTGAACAGGTTGACGAGCCCGAGTGGACGGTGGTGGGACGTGAAACTCCCGACATCAGCCGCGCATCATCCACTTCTTCTTGCGCCAATGGAGCTATACCTAAGCAGGTATGTTTCGAAAATGAACGAGATAAATTATAAATAATACTAAGACGTTTTAAATTATTAATTTTACTATAATAAAACTAATTTTATATGTATTTATGTGTGCGAGATTTATCTAAATATATAATCGTGCGTATAAATATATTTTACACATTATAAATATGTAACTAAAAAACTTGATATAATAATTCAGTAGGTCTATCTCTCAAAAGAAATAAAAATGTTTTTTTATTTATTATCTAATTATTCTGTTCTATATTGTTTTTTATCTGTATTGTTTGTTTTATCAGCCTACACCGTCCGCTCCTGTACCAAAGCCAGAGACAGAACAGGTGCATATATATCCATCATTACCAAACCAAGAATTCTTCCACCCGGATCCGAAGATCCAACGTGCAGTGGAAGCCATGATGTCAATGGGATTTACTAACCAAGGCGGATGGCTCACTCATCTATTGGTTTCCAAGGATGGTGATATCAGCAAAGCGTTGGATGTGTTGCAACCGGTACGTCGTTAGTAAGAAGAGCGACCTGTGAATTTTGGTTGAGAGTAGTTTATGCATGGTAAAGAACAACATAAAATATAATCCATGTAGTCGATGTTCTTGGTAGTGGGTAATATTCGATTACTATCAAAAAAAGACTTTTGGTCTCTTGCCGCAGATATATAATTTATCTTAATTTATCTTTCTGGTTTCATAGTTCTTTCATGTTAATTTGACAATTAATGTGATCGGAATAAAGTATTTGAGCTATTTGACAAATTTGTTCTGTCAATTACAAATTTTATTTTATGAACGTATTTTTTCATGTATTTTAACGTATTTAATAAAACCTGTGAGAATATATTTTCTTTCTTCTGATATTATAAATCAAGATAGAGAGTTGCGGCAAGTATAGAAGTCTGAATTTTATCAATAAGACACTTCTTTATATCGCTGAACTTAGTTTACATGTGCACTGAAATTTAGTTTGTAAGAATTTTTTCTTTCATGATATATGTATTTTTAGAATTATAAAACAAGAAAACGATACATATGAATATATGTTCTTATTATTAAATTAGAAATTCTTGGTGAGAAAACTACATTGTATTACTAATGTGTATTAATGTACTTTGAACATTTTATGTTGATAAAATTTTATGTTAATAAAGAAATTATGATATAAAAGATTGCAATGTTCTCTTATCTTTTTGAAATCCCCTTATTATATTTGATAAGCTATGGTCAGAGATACACTGCGTGATTATTAGAGGAAACAATGATATTAAAAGATAAAACTCAAGAAATTTTATTGCAGATACCACTGATATACATTTTTGCTTATAAAAAGTTACATTGCAGCATTAAAGTTAAGGGATTTCTATTAGTAATTAGTTCTAATTCTTTTTGACCTTCAGGCGTTATGTTCCTGATCCATTTGCGTTCTTTGTAATATTCGATCATGGAATCAAACTCCGCGGTGTTGTAGTCATCAACTAAAATGGGTATAAAAGGATCCAAATGTTCGAAGCCTTCCTTACCAAGCAAATATCTAGGAAGATCTGAACCTTCAGACTGAAAATAAGGATTTCAATTAATGTTATTATAGATTTAATTGCATAATATATAATGTGATATGTACCTGATTTGCGTGCTTATCTACCGTCAATACGACTGCACCATTACACCAATCACTCTTCGTAATATTCAGGAATGATATCGTTAAGGAAACCTTGTTGGGTGGTACTAACGCTTTGTTATCATCGCGAATATATGTCTTATCCATTGTAAACGCATTGAAACCATCAATCACGACAATCGTCTTACACTTTCCTGCAGTACTAGCAAGCTTTAATTCTTTTATTAATACATCTATCACACCACAGGCATATTTCATGCGGTTTAAACCGAAGTCAAGGAGCTCCAAGATGGATGTTCCTTGTGGAGTCATCTCACGCTGATTCCATGTATAATCTGTGGATACTTTGAGCTGCAAAGTGATTGTATATATAAATGTTATGTAAACAAGTATAGCCAGCAACAAAGATTTAATTCAAAATACACATACGTCTAATTGCGTCAGCAAGTTTATATTTTGTACTTTAAAATGTTTTAACCATAATCCAGCATCAATAGGCAGATCCAGATAACCAGGTAACAATGCTGAGTTTGCAACTTCTTTCATATTGCGGAACCAGTGAGGAACTAAACAATAGAAACTAGTTAATAACTAAAGCATTAATAGAATATACATGTAACTCATATTTAATTTTATAACATACCCCATGGTATATGAACTGTTATATATTTCTGTGTAAAAGCATAGTGTAATACATGACATAATGTGATACTTTTTCCTGTTCCTATTTTTCCATCTTTTTTATGTTATTAAGGTTTTTTTATTAGATATATATAAAACTTCTTATAATTTTTTAAACATATGATGAATTTATGATCTGCCTTACAATTATTTATGTAAATAATTCAATATTTTAATCATTCATTCAATCATTTGTTATATATAATGTTATATATTGTAGCATTTACTTCCCATATAGAAATTATAAATATAAAAGATGAAATAATAAAATAAAAAATAAAATTACTTCATAATCTTATTAAAAAATGACTATCTTGTTTTTAAAAAAGGATACATAGAATATATTTATTAACAGGGCGTGTATAATCTATCTGATTGAGATATGACATAATTTCTACTGCTGGTTCTCTAACCATTACTGCGTATTCTTGGAAAGTGACAGCTTGTCTCACAAATCTTTTAGGAAAACCATTGCATTGAATCGCCTGCTCTATTGGTATTTTATAAAATTTACCAATATGCTCCTTATTATGATTAATTGGATTGTTTTCAATTGTACGGAATGAGCATACTTGATTCATTTGCTCATCCTTTACCTTAGTTGCAGTACTGAAATTCTTCCTATGTGTCCTATATAATATTCCCAAAAAGGAACCTACAATTATAATTTTTTTGTCTTGCACTCTTGTAATACTAAATGATATATTAATAAAATTATTATATATATCTTTCTTATAATAAAAACTATTATAATTTTGCACTATTATTATACATTACATTAATTACTTGTAAGTAATACTATGTAAAAAAGATTTATTGAAAATAATATATTTGCTAGAAATTACAATTATACAGTGCATTATTATGTTAATGATTAAAATATCATTTGTATCACTTATAAAGGAATGTACATGCTAAAAGTATTAACGTAGATAAAATCTTACGTAAATGTAATGACATCGTGTTTCCGTTCGTTGAATTGTTTGTAATGATTGATAATATTTTCACAAATTCGTCGCCTCGAAATTATACATTCGATACATATACTTTATATCCATACGAAATATTCGGAGCACATTCGACATAACCTAAAAAAACATTTATTCAGGGAAGATTCACACCTAAGTAGAAAAGCAGAAAGCAGAAAGACACTATGCCAATCACAAGTGGCATTGATAGTCTGTCTCTCTCTTACCAGAGGTTTTTCTCTCTGTCACTCTCTTGGCTACTGCCTTCCTGCTTTCTGTTTTTCTTCCCAGGTGTAATAGTAGTAGTCCTTTGCTGGCTCCGGGCTGCATTCAGCTTTGTCCATACGCCATTTTCCAATAATATGAAGGTAAAAGAAAAACAGGGACAACGCATACGCAGTGCCCACGATCAAAAAATATGCGTACAATTACAAGAACCACATCTAACCGCCACGGAGGCGAACTTCTTGCCAGGTGTGAATGCGCCTTTACGGGATATAGGCTGTGTTCTAATATTCATTGGCTGCGTTCAGAAAATACAACGGTTACACAACGGTTGAATAATTCGTCAACGTTATTGGTCTGAATGTAAGGATCTAATAGTAAGGACCAATAGTTACTAAGCGCTCAGTGAGCACTTTGTTTTCTGAACGTAACCATTGCCAGCACCACAGATGTCTATACTATACTAGATTGGTAACTTCTCAAAAGAGCTGTGTCCCGCCCATTTTCCGGTTCGGCCATGAAGACCGCCAAGACATGGCGGCGGTGTTTGTAGTGCGTATGTGAATACCCGATGCGTATGTGTAGTGCGTGGTAGTGCGTATGTGACACCTGATGTGTCTACTACTATTTATGTTAGTAAAACTGCAAATCTACAAACGAGATAATGCCGAATAAGTATTGTAAATTTCAAAAATATGAACAAGAAAGAATATCATTTAAAGATGTGTGTATTAATAAGGTGTTGCTAATCTAAGTGTTTGGTAAAGGTTAAAATTAAATTGAATATATACAGTTCAAAATATGTCAAAGTATTTGTATTAATATTTTTTACATACATATAAAGAATAAAATGCAACTTATGTGTTATTAAATAATATTAATTTTGTAAATTTGTGTCTGTTACTTGCAGGATTTCTATCTTTCGTTGTTTTTGTAAGTGAATACATTCTAATATTAATAATATTAATAATATTAACATAATATTAATAATATTAACAATGTTTAATTGCAAGATAACCCTCACATATTACAAACCTCGAACATTTATTATATATAAATGTATTCTACTTACTTAAATAAGTGATATCCTTTTTTATTCGTATTATTGCAATTAACAATGCAACATGTACTTGGCATTATCTCGTTTATATATTTGCAGTTTTACTAATATAAATAGCAGTAGATACGACACATCAGTGTAGACACATCAGGTATCACATACTTACAGTACAGCACTACTACACACGCATCGGATACTCACGTACGCACTATAAACACACACTGCCGCCATGTTTTGGCGGTCTTCATGGCCGAACCGGAAAATAGGCGGGACACAGCTCTTGTATAGGTCAAAGATTGAAGTTAGCAATCTAATATAGTATAGACATCTGTGGCCAGCACTGAAAATCTATAATATACGTGACACAACCTATGTATTTTCAGGAGGTTGATCATAAATTTTTTCACGTGAATTTAATTTTACCTATCGATCATGAAATTTTTTCTCTAGGATAAAATCGTGGAAAAAGAAAAATTTTGCGATGTTTGTAATAATCTGAATAAAATTTGCTTTATTTATTACACATTTTATAAAATGTTTATAATGCATAATATATATAGTTACTATTTCTTCTATTTAGACTTCTAAAAAATTATCTCTTTTAAGGTATTACAGCGCCTGTATTATACTATGCATTGAGAATTGCAATCGAGTAAATTAGATAATCTAAAACGTGGTTATTTTAATTGGTCCGATAGTAATTCTCAATCTATTGGGTATGGGAATAAGTTTTAATCGTTTTTTATATAGACAAAAAACATAGTTTGAATATGAAAATATTAAATGATTTTATTCAAAATATTTTCCATCTGAAGCGACAACCTTCGCCCATCTTTCGGGCAATAAACGAATTCCTCGAGTGAAGAATTCTATTTCTTTCGAGGCGATCCAGTCATCGACCCATTTTTGTATGCTGTCATATGAGGTGAAGCGCTCTCCAGTAAGTGCCGACTGCATCGACCGGAACAAATGATAGACTGAAGGGGCAATGTCTGGTGAATACGGCGGGTGGGGTAAGACCTCTCATTTCACCCCTTCTAGGTATGTCCGGACGGGTTGACCAACATGTGGTCTAGCGTTGTCGTGCTACAAAATCAGCTTCTCGTGTCTATCGTGCTATTCCGGCCGTTTTTCTTGAATAGCTTGTTTCAAACGCATTAGTTGAAGTCGGTAACGTTGGGAATTGATAGTTTCGGACGATTTCAACAGCTCATAGTAGACTACACCCTGCATATCCCACCAGATACAGAGCATGACCTTTGACCCGTGAATATTGCGCTTTGGCGTTGATGGACCTGGTTCATCTGGCTTCACCCATGCTAGTTTGCGTTTAAAATTGTCGTAGTAAATCCATTTTTCATCGCCAGTGATGATCCGATGCAAAAAACTCTTTCTTTCTTGTCGTTGAAGCAACATTTCGCACGTGACCAAGCGCCTTTCAATGTCCCTTTCCTTCAACTCGTGTGGTACCCAATTTCCTGCCTTCTGAACCATTCCCAGCGCATGTAGGCGTTTTCCAATGGTGGATCGATCAACATCCAATGCTGCAGACAATTCTTCAAGTGTCTGATATGGATCAATATCAAGCAATTTGTCAAGTTCCTCATTTTGGAACTTTTTTGGGGCATCATCGCGTTCTTTGTCGTTGACATCGAAATTACCACTTTTGAAGCGTTGGAACCAATATCTGCAAGTTGGCTCCGATGGAGCATGGTCGCCGTAAACATTCACAAGCAAACGGCACGTTTCCGCAGCACTTTTCTTCAAAAGATAGTAGTGGAGAAGAACTTCCCGCAAATGCTGCTTTTTTGGAACAAATTCCGACATTTTCGATGCGATATGAATACTTGCTGTTTGCACTCCAAACAAAAGTCTTAAGCCAGCGGCACACGGTGCTTGTTTTCGTACTGGATTGCTTGCTGGATGAAAATACTGCGTTCTGATTGGTGCATTTCCATCCATCTTCGGAAATGTACCAATCAGAACGCAGCATTTTCATCCAGCAAGCAATCCAGCACGAAAACAAGCACTGTGTGCCGCTGGCTTTACATATACACCTTTTAAATACATGTATCGAAAGGTTAGAAAATAATGTTAATGTAACGTAACTGTTACTTAGTATCCACTGGACAACATAACCTAAGATAAGGCATTCGCGCAAGAAACGCGGAAAAACTATGCGGGAAGACAGCTGATCCGGATATAGCGCGGGCCCCTCCATGGACCCTGCAATGCGCTTTATTGCCGTCATTGGTTGCGTTCAGAAAACAAAGCGTTCACTGAGCGCTTAGTAAACTATTGGTCCTTACTGTTAGATCCTTACATTCAGACCAATAACGTTGACGAATTTACTCAACCGTTGTGTAACCGTTGTGTTTTCTGAACGCAGCCAATGGCATATGATTTCGTAGGCTTTACGTCATCTCACGCTTGCGCTGTAACGTCGCAATATATTATATCTAGCAACTATGCCGCGTGCTTGTCTGCGAGAAACAAACAGGAGCCAGGCCATCCGCCACGCAGCACCTGATCAACGACTCCAACAGCATGCAGGCCGCGGCAACGCGACTGAACGTCGCTGCCCACACATTTCCGAACAATGTCCCTAACAAAAACCTAGAAGTAGATATATGTTCTTTTATAAATTTAAAATATTTCTTAAATATATCTTGACATATTAATAGAACATAATAGACATATTAATGGAATATAAATGATAAATTAATATATTAATATTAATAGATTGCTAGTGATGACAGTGACTTTGAGTTAGAGGATACAGATATCAACGAGGATGATTCTAAAAACAAAATTACACTGCAGTTGCTCAAAATTTGGCAGGAGAAAATACAAACAGACAAGTAAAAGTTTTCCTTGGTTGGCACATTGTTACATTTATCTTTCAATAAATATCTAACAATATATTAAATATATAATGTCAATTTGTAGATCATTAAATATGATTAAATGTGCTGTGGATGTCTTTCATGCAGCTGTGGAAACTGTTGCTGAATCAGCTGACCCAAGCACATTGCGATATAAAGTAGAAGGAAGTGCAGGTCAGGTTTAACTTTTATCTAACCACTGATTAGTTTCTAGATAATTATATTTTAATATGATTAATTTATATTTTCAGTATTTAATGGTGTAGTTCAGTTGTGCATAAAGGAATTACCTGAAGCGTTTAAATGTTTTTTAAAGCTTGACTCAACATCTATTAAGGAAGTTCATAAATGTAAGAAATTTCCAAAAGTACAAGGTATTTTAAAAACCTACTTAGCAGATTTAATTAAGGTACGTAAATTTTTACTTATATTTTCTATTCTTATAACTTAAATATATTGAATATTGCATTGTAACAAATATATTTTATTCGTAGATATTACAAAATATAGCATCAGCCAATATTATCACGGTATTTCTAAAGCATCTTTATCAAATGTTGCCCTATACTCAATTATTTTCATCTCTAATAAAACCATTGCTAAGGATCTTGTTGAAACTATGGTCAACTGGAGAAGAAAATGTTCACATTGTAGCCTTTATAAATATATTTCATATTGCAACAAATCCTACAAGATCTGTGCTGGAGATGCTATTGAAGGTAAAGTCCACAGTACTGTAAAAAAGTTGGAAGTTAGTGTGAAAATATTTTTCGGCAGTCGTATTAAGTTGAAGTTCTTTGTTTATAGAACATGTATGTAAAATACGTAGAGAATGCTAAATTCGTTTCACACAACACATTATCAGAGATCAATTTCATGAGGCTCTCTTTGGCTGAGATTTATCTACTTGATCATAATCTTTCTTATAATCATGCTTTTCTTTATATCAGGCAATTAGCCATTCGTTTAAGAAATGCTACAACATTAAAGAAGAAGGTAATCAATTATGGGTATTTCAAAAAATTATGAAACTTATTTTTAATGTTTACAATATCTCATCTTCTTTTTCAGGAAAATTTCCAAGCTGTATATAATTGGCAGTATATAAATTCTCTACGCTTCTGGACAGAGTTGATCACCAAGACAAAGAAACAATCGATGCTGCGTTCTTTATTATATCCTTTAGTGCAGGTATTATTTGTTTTTTATAAAAAAGTATAAAAAAGAAATTATATATGTTGTGCATAACTGTGTTGAATTTTTTGTTGTTTGAATTGGTTTCTAGATAATTACAGAGACATTAAAAGTCATCCCAACTGCACAATATTATCCATTGCGATTCCACTGCGTGCAAATGTTAATTATTATTTCTAAGGAGACTGGAATGTTTATACCAGTTTTACCGTTTCTTCTTGAAGTATAAATTGTTCTAAAGTATCTCTTAATGTAGACTTATATGATGAGAGTTTCATATATTCATTTTTTTCTCCCTTTAGGTACTGGATTCCTATGATTTCAACAAAAAACACAAGACTATATCAATGAAACCTGTACCTCTTACATGTATATTGAGAATGTCAAAATCTCAACTCGCGGAAAATGGTTTTAAGGATAGTGTCATTGAAACCATTTATCAACTTATATTAGAAAATGCAGCAAATGAAAGTCACATGATATATTTTCCAGAGGTATACATTTCTTGTCTAATACAGGTATGTGAAAAATAGAATCATATATTTTATAGTAATCTATTTTTATAAATGTCAAATGTTAAATTAAATCACATTTTCAGTTAAAAGCGTTTCTAAAGAAATGTCACGTATCGAATTATTGCCGAAAGATCAAACAACTCTTAGACAAGATCGAAGAGAATAGAAAATATATTGAAACTGAGCGTATCAAAGAACCTATTGCTTTGAAGAACATGGAGGAGATTACAAATTGGGAAAATAGGATAAAGACGGGCGGCACTGAAATAGCCAAGTTTTACGTTTCACGGATCAAAATTCACGAATCGCAAAAACTTAAATTACTTACGAAAACTGAGGAAATGTCGGAATACAAACTGCCCGTTGTGAAAAAATCGAGAAAACGAGAACTTGAACAAATTAAGGAACAGAGTGAAGAAGAGAGTGAATTTGAATTTCAGATAAAAGAAACAAATAACGATGTTCAACAAAAGCCAGTGATAAGTAAGTTGAATAAATCAAAGAAAAAGAAAATGAAGATTCAAAAAGAATATCGAGAATGAAGATTTGCCAAAAGAAGACACAGACATCGTTCAAGATGTAAATAGCGACGATTGGAATTAAAAATACATTTGTATAACTATTGTTAAATAGTGTAATAATTAATACAAAAATGGTATAACAATACAAAAAAGTCATGTATTTATTTACTTTTAAATAATATAATCCAGTGAAGACTTGAATGAACTTCCTTTTCATTCTTTAACCAGACAATGAATATAATATTACTTTAAACTTTCATTTTGAATTAAAAGATCTTTTCTGTATACATATTACAATTCTATTTTATATTTTACACATTACAACTCTAGTTTTAATTATCTGATGCTAGATCATGTCTAGTAAAGAATTATTGTATGTAGTTCTAGAACTTTTGCAGAAATATTTGACAGTTTTTCTATTTTGATTAAACTATTTATATAAAAATTGATGTCTCAAATAACATTAGTTTTAATTTTTTTAAAATAACATGTCTTTATAGCAACTTAATATTTTATTTTATATATGATATAAAAAGATAACATTTACATAAAAAATAGGACTCAAATCTTAGTCTTAATATGTACATAATTAAATATAAAGACAATTTGAAAAATAAAAATGATTACTTTATGTATATAATACTATATATATTTAGGAATTATATAATAAAGAGTATGAATAATTTTTATGTAAAGTCTCTCATAGCAGGTGTCAAAGTCATTAGAGCTGTTTCCATTTCTTTTCTCTCAGTATCTGTTCTTAAACTAGCCCATATTTGTTCTAGCTTTTTCTCTTGATGTTTCTAAAACAATATACAATAAATATCACACATGTGAATTTTAAATGTTTGATACATTATAATAATAATGTTATCAATATCAAATAAATACAAATATACATACCCTAATAAACAGAAAGCAATGTTTCATAGTTGCCCCAATATATAAAATATTTGTTTTAACATGTCGACCACCTATATCATTCATTAATGGAATAGCATGCAATAAAAACTTGTGAGGACCGTGTCTAACTTTTACCAATGCAATCTTAGTATGCATGTTACAATATTTTGCTGTAATCAAAATAAATTTATATTACGTTTATGAAAAAAATCTGTTAAGAATATCCAAGTTAAAAGTGTTAATGAAGCTATTGTACTACTATAAGCATAAGAATACATTGGAAGTATTATCATCAAATATTAAAAATATTGAATTACCATTAAAGCCAGCCTTTATTGCAGCTACTCCAAAATCACCATATAATTTTTGCACTTTCTGTTGAATAGCATCATGTAGAGCTGTAACTTTCAATATTAATGGTTGATCATTTTTGTTGTATGGTGTTATCTCAAGAACCATATACCTAAAAGAACATAATATATGTGTATAATATATATTACATAGTATATATTATTAAATAAAAGTCACGTAGTATCTCAAATTACCTATTCTTAAAGCGAACCATGTTTTAAAGATACACTCCGTATGACACAAATTTTTCAAAAAGTATCGAATTCAGCCTTTTTTCAGTTTGCTTTATTTTTTCTTTTAACCTCATTTTCTCCTTTCTGCATCATATTTTACATTGAGCATTAAACTGTTAAAATCAGTTAAAATTGAACTGCTAAAAGGTTACAGTAGCATCGACGAAGTAATACTAAAGATTGTCAGCTCTAGGTAAATTTTCGTTATTACCAGAGTATTACCAGAGAGGAACGTGAGAGAGGCCAACACGGTGTTTTCGACGACACCGACTTTCCGCACTGGGAAAGGACGTCATCTGCATCCATTTTGAGAGAGGAACCACGATACTACATCCACTTTCAGATTTCGACGGTAAAACCTGTATGTGGTGGCAGTTCGTGCTACATCCATTCTTAGGCGGTTTATGTCCGTGCTACAACCATAATACCGTACTTGACAAGCACGGTCTCGTACATTGTTACGCGTTTATAACATGAATTAACATGTTAACATGTGCAAAAAAAAGAATTAACGTTGTGTATGATTAATATCATGAAGATCATACGAAGTGTTCGGTAATTAGCTGCCAACCTGAAGTATGAGGGTAGATTGGGTTGAGACAAACATAAAAGTCCCATACCATTTTGCGAGATTCGTAATAATTATTGAGTTATTAATGACAGAAATCTGAGGAGTAAAAGCGCGCCGACATAGATGATTCGAAAAGCGTTGCAGCTGCTCGGGGCAGCGATCATGAATCTTTTCCCTAGCGTGAACTAATAAAAAGTGAAAGACTTCTGTGAATCAGTGAAGAATGAAAAATTTTATATGAATTTGTGAAAATCGAAACATTTCACACGACAATTGAGTCGTTCAACATGGCACTTGCGCGTTCTGGATAATTCAATGAGTAGACTGATGGCCTTACGGGACTCATCGTACCAGAGAAATTTCCCTGGTGAGGCACCCGGACGAAAGAGATCGTCTCGCATTTAGCGCTGTAAAATTTAATGGAAACTAATACTTTTCAATCATCTTCTTTGGATCAAAAAGATTCAGAATTCAGATATATACAAAATGTCAATACCTTTAATACGTTTCAATACGACATTTTATACAGGGAAGCAGGATGAAGGGAATGAGATGCGGGCAACGATACATCATGCGTCTCCAGACGTGTCAAATCGTTTATTATGGAGGAGACTTTGATACGGCAACATGTATTCGAATATTTAACCGTCCCATGGACCACTTATATATAATAAAAAAAAATTAACGCGGATAAATGAACGATTCGTATCAATTCTTCCTTTTCTTATAGAGCAATGAAAGAGTAAATCAGTATCGAAAATCGAATACCGATTAATACCATAAATCATTGTCAGAAAATTGTCCAACGACAATTTGTTCTCATTTTTCAGGTAGTTACCGCTATAATTTACACAACAAATTAATTCGGTTAAACGAACGATTCGTACCAATTTTTCTTCTCTTATAAAGAAATGAGAGAATAAATTAGTACCGAAAATCGAAGGCCGATCAATACCTAATTTATTCATCAAATTAACGCGGATTAATGGACGATTCGTATTAATTTTCTGTTTTCTTATAGAGAAAGGAAAGAGTAAATCAGTACCAAAAATCGAATATCGATTAATACCATAAAACAGTGTCAAAAAATTACACACGTGCAATGACAATTTGTTCTTATTTTTCAGGTACTTACCCCTCTAATCTTATTCAACAAATTAACTCAGATAAACGAACGATTCGTATCAATTTTGGTCTTCTTATAGAGAAATGAAAGAGTAAATAAGTACCGAAATCCGAGACCGATCAATATCTAACTTATTCATTAAATTAACTCGGATAAACGAACGATTCGTATCAATTATTCTCTTCTTATAGAAAAATGAAAGAGTAAATCAGTACCGAAAATCGAATATCGATCAATACCGTAAATCAACGTCAGAAAATTGTCAACGTGCAATTACA